ATTTGGAAGCTCGCTCTGTCTTTGAGAAAATGTTTCGTCTTCAGTGTGAAAGACAGGAGACAGACCTTCCACCAGTGCTTTGAGGTGTTTAACCAGCACTTTAGTAGTAACAAACACGCAGATTACTTTTTACAGGAGTACAATATAAACAGTGGTACTGTCCCAGCTAACAATTTAACGTTGTCACAACGGTATGCTTCCGTGTTGCAACGTTATTCTGTGAACGTTGTGATACGTCATTTCACGTCCTCGCAATGTTAAAGTTATTTGATGCTAACGTACTTTATGCTGTCTTAGCGTTCTGTTTAACGTTAATATCTGAATAGTTTCCCCAGTAGTGAACAGTCCATCAGAAACAAATCAGAAATTCACTTCAATGTTTATTCGACAATTTGTATGTTTTGGTCGTGTGTTTTCTGAAGCTGTAGCTGAATAGTGAAGAAAGAATCTCAACGGGAAAAGTTTTACAGAAAATTCTATCGTGACACCAACATATTGTGTAGTAGTCGATATGCAACGTTTTGACAACATACATATGTAACGTTGCTGTAACGTTTGAAATAACGTTGCGAAAACGTTATGCGGTGACTGGGTTTACATCGGGGCGGTTCCCCACAGGAATACTATAGGCACAGCCAGTGCCTACTGTCTCCGCCGTAATATCCAAACCGTAATGTGCTGATGCCATGGAATTTAAGGATCTTGCAAAACCTTGCTTCAGACCTGTCTGGCTAATAATTGTAATGAACACTAATGCGATTATAACAAGGGATGTTTTTGTGTAGATGACAGTCTGTTCTCATTATATTTAGACAGATGACTGAAAGTAACTGCATGAGGAAATAAGAATAAAATCAGGCTCTGTCACGACTTTCATCCTCATCAATCATTATAAGGACCACAATTTCGCTTTCAGTAGAACCGCGTGATTAATTATGTACTGTGTCAAACAGTCTAACGCTCTGCTGAACGTTGTTGTATGAGTAGGTTTAGTGGGATAGCCCAGTCCAATGTGTGTGTTTATTAAGTAAGGGGGGCACCGGCCCATTATACACATACATATCAGAAGTTTTTAAGATATAACATGAAGAGCCATAAAAGTGACGGAATGGATACAGAGGTGTAATTGTAAACAGAGATATAGACACAAGATCAGCATGATGCAAAATATTTCGTACGGTTTTTTTCATAGCTAAAAATAACTGCTCCCTATTCTGGTATTTTATTAGCAATTTAATTGATTTAAATGGTAACATAAATTACATTTTGATCTAATGAATTGCAACGTGTCACAGTCAGCGTGGCAAATGGTGTCATACAGAACTATTGTAAGTTTGGGGATGTTGTAATTAATTTCAAATTCAGGGTCTATATTTTTTAAACCTTCTTGATACAATGATGTATGGAATTGTATGTATGTAAATGTGGTTGAACATTAGCAATATTACAATGATATCATGGCGACCTTTAAATGGAACAATCCGGAAATATCTTTGCACGCGGTGAACTTTTGGTCAACGTTCAGAGCCATCTGTGTAAAAGAACACGCAGCCACGTCACTGTGTCTGACCATCCAATACTCTTTTCGAGCGGTTCTTACGACAACCATGATAAAGTAAGGGCCTTGGTTAAGCGGAGCCTAGTGGTTATTGATTGCTCGTCACGGCGAACGGGTTCGATTACTAATTTTGTGTGTTCTGAAGTAGTTCGTCAGGATATTACACGAAACACGGTCTTGAAACGGTACAAAACTCACTCACTCACTCACTCACTCACTCACTCACTCACCCACCCACCCACCACACCCACTCACTCACTCACTCACTCACTCACTCACTCTCACTCACTCACTCACTCGCTCGCCCGCCCGCTCACTCACTCACTCACTCACAAACCCATTCAGTCACAAACCCATTCACTCACTCACAAATATCAAGGTGACTTATGGGGTATTTGTGCTACATTTGAACTATTTTCACTCACTCACTCACTCCCTCACTCGATTATTGTCGTAATCACCACCAGACGGTTTCTGGAGTAAAGGATGTCAATCAATTAAATGCTCTCCTGTATGTCAGCTACGATCTCTGTACATGTATGTCGGTGTCCGTATATTTGGAGGCTACACTGATTAAATCTCTGTAACCTGTTCGTTTGACAGCACTAAATTTAATTAAATTGAACTGCCGCAAGCAATGCGGGATGTGTCGTAAAATAGAAATTGATTACCTTTGTGTTTGGAATACTCTACTCAAAAGAAGGTAAAGGTTTCCCGATTTCATGTTATTAATATAGTTAATGTGTCACAGCACGACAGGTGAAGTGCGGTAATTTAAATGAATCGGGCATTCAATGTGTTAAGTTGAGTATTTTTTAGCGTCATAGCTTCCACGTAAGATTTTTACCTTTTAGTTTGGGGAGTTTACGATCAAGAGCTGGGTTTGAGGACACGTATTTAATCGTGCTAGATGGATGATATTGAATGACTGGAATGGGTTGAGCCCAATGTTTTAAACGCGTTTTCTTGACACTCAATCAAATCTTGTAAGTGTTAGTTCTTCAGTGCACGTCACTCGCCTCATGATGACTGTTTGGATTTGGATATTGTTTAACACCGCCGCAGAGAAAGACCAATGTCCATTGTCCACTGAAACAGATTCTGATGAGATTCAATAAGTATATTAGTAGACATGAAAGATGTCTTTACACGGAAATGTTTAAAGTAAACTAATCCAGGCAAAGTTCCTTACTTAAGCTATTATTATTTCTCTGTTAAAACGTATTCAAAAGATAGAATTCTAATGAAAGATAATTTGTAATGTATTTAAGTCGCTGCTGTCATCATTGAACCCAATCAACAGTCATCAAACAATACCTTTGAACGTCATGAACGGTGATTGCAGAACACAGTCGGCCATCTATGACGAAACAATTTACCAGATGTTTCGTTTTAAAGTTGTTAATTTCCACATAAATTATAACCAATTACCTCACTGACACTATAGAGCTTTCCTCGAGTTTGTTATAATATATGATATGGCAGAATACAGTTTAATCTTATTTTCAAGAATATGTGTTTCTCGTTGGCATTGATGCATAAACTTACACCTATAAACTATGATTTAAGGCAGTAGTTTATAGCTTTATCCATAATCCCTACAATCGAAGACGTCGCCAGAGGAATGAAACAAATCCATTATTTTGACAAATCAAATACAAAAGCGAGTTCAACACCATCATTATATTCGAACTATACCGTTACGCAGGAACCAAGTACTTTTGTTTGAAGTTACATGATTGGCGGCATTGTGTAACTGTCAGTGCAGGGGTGTTGTTTCCCATCTGCCTTGAGCACCAATCGACATTTGTGAGATAAATCATATGACAAAAGTTAAATAATTACTTTCACGTTTTCGTGGATCGTCATCGGTGCACCGTGCATTGTGACGGGAGGATTGGATTGCGATGCTCGCTTTTCACTAATTCGGTTTAACAATTTATGAAATTTGTTATGTACTTGATGTCTTTAGAATTTGTTTATGTTGTATTCATTTAGTGACATTTATGTGTATATTGTTTACCCTAAAAACGATTTTTGTTTTATTTGCAGGAAGGAACGCAATGGATATGCTTGTGTATATATTCGTGTTAGCATGTCTAACATGTTTAATAAATGGCACGTACATTCCTATGCGGCTTTCACCATCCCCATGTAAGTATATGACATTATGTGGGAGTTTTGTTTCTACTTCGGTCTTTTTCGATTAGGTTTATACTTCATGAATAAGTAACAGTTTGTATGAAAAGTGATTTGATGCAAGTATTTGTTGCACATTTGTCACTACAGCGGCACCTCAGCGTCGTTCATGGTTATGTGTACCCCTACTCTAATTCTATACTCCATACCACACAATTCCTTGTGTCGCCTCTTGTGAGCACTGTTGGCACTAGAACGCAGTGGCTGTTGAAACTATACGGAGCACAGAGACCAAAAGTTCAACTGTGAATTTCTTTTGGAGGTGAACCACATGCCTGGTCAAATGCATAAGGCGTCTGTCGCAGAAGCGAAAGATCGGCGTTAGGTCTTAAAAGATGGTGGTTCTTGTTATTGCCTTGACTTGTGCTACCAATTGGGCACGTAAACTGGGCGTCAGTATGTTGTGTTTGAGTGGGATACACGTGTACACGTGCCTCGTCAGCAGAAGTCAGAAACGCTGAAGTAGTCACACACGCTCGTGCAGCCACACCTGCCATATACAGGTGTTGAACTTGAAAGCAACGTTACTTCACTTTTCACAACATCTCACATCAACAAAATTTGAAATGGATATATATTTAACCATGTGGATTAGTTGATAGCTTCTTGGGAAAAAAAGTAAAACCAGAAACGATGGTATTTTGTCTTATCAAAAATATGTAATATTTTGTTAATGTCATTATGAGGTTAAACCATGATAAGTTTGATTATTTTTTGTGGTTGTCTTACAATAATAATTCTCGTTTTGAGGTCTTTGATAATATTTCACAGATTGACCAGCATGTCTCGACAATATATTATGCTCTGTACACGTCTGACACACATCAACGGTTACATTCATCAAATTCAAGATTCGACTGACACAAATCAGCGTTTTCTTTTATCATTGTCCAGACATGCCAAACACAGATCAACGATTACATTCATCACGTTACAGAAATGCGTAGCACTTATAACGTTCACATGAATCATTACCCAAGCACGTCTGATATTAACCCTCTTCACATGCACCACATTCCATACCCGAATAACATTAACACCTCTTCACATGAAACATGTTCCAGACATCCTAAAGTAACTTTTTCGTTTCTGTTTCAGCTCCCTCCTTCACTCCATCACCCTTTCGTCAAATATCACAGCTCTATAAAGGCCCCTTTCAGGGGACCCTTCCCCCTATTCCTCTGATCATGCCAAGACCGGGAATACCAATGTACAGCTTCCCAGTACTACCGCTACAGTCACCATGGACTTCTCCGCCGCCCATGTTCACACCCATTGTTCCTGTGTCACAGCCACCACACAGGTCCCCAGGTACCTGGAACAGAGCACTGCCAGGTAAGGACATCCAGCAGCTGTTGGTGCACACCAATGTTGGTTCGGCAGCAGCTGATTTGACCACGGACGATTCTCCAATTCCATAATACTCCCTTTACACATCAATGTTGTATTCATTAAATTTAGACAAAGCTAAAACAAAGTCCATTGTACGATTCCAACTATACCATGCACATGTGTGTTATTCACTAATTACATGTATTCTATAATTGTACTGACACATTACACTGACAGTTTATAATTAGTGATAGCCATGGAATTGCTACACCTCAACAAACACTGGACGGGCAGTTAAAAAAGAACGTAAGCATGGCAATAGTTCGTCATATCACAGAGTTAGCAATATTGCAAGAGGACAGGAGACTGTATTCTCCTTAACAGCTACAAATGCATTTTCTAAACATATTATAGCTTTAGTAAGAAATAAATAGTTACTACTTCTTTGAGGACATGTACGGGTGTATGTATACATGTAGGTAGACACCATTGGTTGTATCAAGTTAATCCACATTGTAAACTGACCATCAGCGTCCTATGATAGACCTCAACTATGTTTCATCCATGCTACAGTAATTAACCTGTCTTGTCATGAACGTTGTGGTACACACCTTATGGGTACATGGTCAGTGTTTGCTAGTTACAATTTCGGACCGAAATCATTACCCAAGAATTAGCTACTCCTTGACAAATACTTGACCCACGTTTAACAGAATTTGTATACATAACAACATTTAGTCATATGTAAAATATGCAGCGTTACAGGGCCAAAAGCATTAATTGGAATTATGAAACAGTCGCTTCCCACTTTATCTAGAAGCACAGATAAAAGTTATCAAATACTGGGTAAAGCTCTTGAATATGCCTGCATCAAGATTTCCTAAGAAATGTTATAACATGATGTATTTGTTTGACACCAACGGAAAATCAAATTGGGTAACGAATGTTAGAAATTTACTAAATCATTGTGGTTTTAGTGATGTATTTTTGTCACAAAAGATTACCTGCCCAAAATCATTTTATAATGCTTTATCGCAAAGATTAAAAGATATGTACATTCAGACCTGGAACTCATCTTTAATACAGTCGCCCAAATCCACTTTTTACAGTACTTTTAAATCTTTTTTCCATACAGAGCAATACCTACACGATATCAATCTTAGAAAATTCCACGTTTCATTATCCAGATTTAGATGCTCTTCACATGATCTTATGATCGAGAAGGGCAGATATTATAATATTCCAAGAGATAACAGATTGTGCAAATTTTGTGCACTAAATGTAATTGAAGATGAATTCCACTTTTTGCTGGTATGTCCTTACTTTGCTGATTTAAGGACAAAATATCTACCACAATATTACTATTCACATCCTACCATGTTTAAATTTAATTTGATAATGAACTCTAATAATACAACTTATATTCGTAAACTTGGGATGTATATCCACCATGCTTTTGAACAAAGAAATAACGTTTGCAAACATTGTTATTGTATGCCATTATTGTTTTATATTTTTGTACTATAGGCCTGTGGCCTCTTCAGTAATGGAATAAAGAGATTTGAAACAGTTGAGTGTACTTGGTAATATTAACTTCTCTTCATTCTTTAAAATATTTGATGCCAAAGTCACTCCAATTTTATCACATGGGGCCGAAATTTGGGGAATAACAAAATTTGACGAAATTGAAAAAATCCATTTATACGCATGCAAAAAATTCCTCGGAGTTAAAATTAACGCTATTAACGCAGTGATTTATGGTGACTGCGGTAGGTACCCAATGCACATTCTTACAAGCATTGAAGTTATTAAGTACTGGCTAAAACTGTTGATTATGCCTTACCCAAGAAGTGTTATAATATGATGTTGTTATATGATAAAGGTGAACAAAACAACTGGGCAACCAATGTAAAAAACTTTTTATATTCTATTGGTTTTGGAATTACATGGAATACACAATATGTCGAATCACCTACGTTATTCATACAATCCTTAACGACAAGACTAAAAGATATGTATATTCAAACATGGTGTGAAAGGATATCCTTATCAAATAAATGCATGTATTATTCATTGTTTAAAAATGCCATAGTCCTTGAGTCATATCTATCCTGTGTTAATGTTAAAAAGTTCAGAATAGCACTGGCAAGATTCAGATGCTCTTCTCATGATTTGTTGATTGAAAGAGGCAGATATATGAATGTAAAAAGAGAAAATAGAATATGTACACTTTGTAATTTTAACGAAATAGAAGATGAATTACATTTTCTCCTAATATGTCCATTTTATGACCGGTTGCGAACAACATATATTAAAAGATATAACTATGTCCATCCAAATGTGATAAAATTCTCCTCACTGTTAAGTAGTAAAAATCCAGTTCTTCTACAAAATATTTCAATGTTCATTTACTATGCTATGATTACCCGATCTAAATTCCTCTCAAATGTAACATAACTTTATGTACTATAGGCCTGTGGCCTTCTCAGTGCAAATATAGATTATATTATTATTCGGTCATATCACAGGATTATCTTTACTGCGGAGGAGAACATAACAGTGTATTTTAAGTTAGACCGATATGTATATTTTCCTATTTTATCTTTTGTAAGAATTAAACAGTTACTTCTCTGAAGAGCGGTTGTAGGTGAGTGAGTGCGAGTGCGTTTGGTTTTACGTCGCTTTCAGCAATATTCCAGCAATATCGCGGTGGGGGTACACCAGAAATGGGCTTCACACATTGTACCCATGTGGGGACTCGAACGCTTTATGCACTAGGCCACCCTGCCGCCCGTGTATATTTTCACTTGCCTCGTACTAACGGTTCAGTGACTGTATTACCCTGGAGCAGAGAGCAGAGAGCTGATAATATCCGTGCTAAACATGCAAAGTACTGTGGAACCTTTGCCTAATGTCAGCTGAGGAATAGGCTAATAATATATCACCCCTATTTATAGCAGAACACAACGTTCGATTGTTAAAACTGCTTATATCATATGTTCTATAGTCCGTTTGGCTCAAAAGCGGACCGATGAATTGCAATCTAACTCGAACGGATGGAGACGGCACAGCACAGGTTAATGAATAAATAACTTTGTCTGTGAACGTGCTTCTCGAACACCTGGCTGTCCCTTTCTCTGCACTCCTCCCTCGTAACAAACAGTGAACTGTGTCAATATTTTAATGATAGTTTGTTAAACAACTTTATTATTTTGAGTACAAAAATTCTGCGAAAACCTCACAGAGTGGGTATGATGTTTTGATTATGATCAGCGTTTCATTGAGTATGTTATTTTTATTAGTTTACGAGTTAGATTGCAATTCATCGGTCCGCTTTTGAGCCAAACGGACTATAAATGTAGCACATATGTCCAGAGACAGGTTGTGACATGGATATCTATCGCTTGTGTTTGAAGGTTAGGGACATTTGTCAGGGACAGACATTCTAATACATCAGCACTGACATTGAGGGGTTGACATGTACTCCGGAACACTTTGGAATGTACCGTGTGTTACAGCTATATTTTGTAAACGTATTCCTCTGACGTCTATAACGGCTTACCTTTAGCGTAACTTTACTTTATAAATCCTGCATGCAAGTATGTGGTTGATAACTTTAGATGAAGACACGATCACGCATGTTTCTTTATGAGACTGTAGTGACCTTCACGTGTCGTTTGATAATACAGATTATCTCTACTGAAATATATACAGGCGATGGAAGGGTCGGAGGGGTATCCTACGTGTATATGTTAAAGTGTTCATCCGTCACGACAAAGACCCGGGTTCGAATCCCCATGTGGGTATAACGTGTGAAGCCCCTTTCTGGTGTTCCCCGTCGTGATATTGCTGGAATATTGCTAAAAGCGGCGTAAATATATACTCACTTACTTGGTCTTGATAAGTCCCCATGGTCCCTAGTATGGTGATCTGCCTTCTGTTGTTGGCGATCTGTAGCCTGATTTTATATTGTATTGTCCCAATAGTGCTATTAGTTTTAAACTTTCCACGCTAGTTTTAATTCTAATTGTGATATTCTAGTTGTTTTACTGTCCTTCGTCGACAGGTTTTTATAATATACATATATTCCACTTCAAAATCAAATATGTTCTCGTCACGATATGGCTTCAATATTGCCGATGTGACGTTAAACAATAACTCACTCACTCACTCACTTGGTCTTGATCAGTTGGAAATCAGATGTTCTACAGCACCGTTGAACTCCAAAGGAAACAATTTCGTGGACAATAACTTCTTCACTCTTGCGTCGTAATGAGCTAAACATAATTTTAACAGAGATTTGCTCGTAACTTTACCCTGTGCTCAAGCACTTGAAGTCATAGCCTTCATTCTGGGATCCGTTCGTATAATCTGTGCCTTTCAAGTGCAGTGGAATTAGTCTCGCTGAAAAACCAGGCGGATTAATTGCTGTCGTCTAATTTCTGTGCTGTACACTATGGTCATAAAGAACTTACCACAGTGTTAGCTCCTTATACCCGTTGATCGGTAGTCGCATTTCCACTATATGTATATATGTTGCGATAAAGGATTCGTCGATTTTAGCTACAATTGTAAAGAACCAAGACAGAGTGAATCCATTCGAAAACACACATGCGTAACAATTAGAAAACATGAATAAAAAGTATAATAGAAAAGAAATACTGTTCGCTCCACCACTATGTACTGTGTAATAAAGTACACTTTTGACCGGAACTATTATAGTTAAAGTACGATGTTGTTTGCGTTTAGGGCAAAACTGTACGTTATTAAACTATGCATGGGGATAGAGCGAACTGTATTTCTTTTCTGAGATGCCAGATTTAATACTTACCGACGATTAATTTAAGGCAGAAAACAAACAGAAAAGCGACCGTGTCGGACCTAAATTAACAATCCTCGCTCAGGGCTGTTCTAATGACGCGACCGTGCCCCTACGTATATATGTATCTGTTCCTGTGCCTTACTGGTATGTGTTCTTTTTCAGTTGGTCCAGTGAGAACAACAGCCAAAGGGGGTTTCGATTACCCAAGAGGGAGCTTCGGTGTAGCATCCAACACGGGTTCAACTCGGCCAGCTAATTATAACAGAGTTCAGGTGCAAGTAGCGACACCACTTCTGTCGACACCCAAATTTTCATTCGACACACAGATTCGTATTCCCAGGAGACATGTCACAGGCAGTCTGGACATGCCAGTCGGTTTTATAATAAACCCAGTTGATGTTGGAGTGAACTCTCCCAGAGTTGCTTTAGTTGATGGAATCCCAGTGAATATGCAAGTCGAAGGCGTTGTGAGCTCATACGACAAAACACAAGGTACTAGACATCCAGACGTAATGAATTCTGGTTCATCTTATCAATATCAAGACATCAGAGGTAACACACAAACAAATATAGGCTCGCAAAGGCGCACCACTGCCAACGCAAGAGAACCGGGCTCACTGACACTTGGTTTACCAATGAATAACCCTCGTGGAACTAGTTATCAAAAGCAGCAGATGGCAAATCACGGATCGGAACAAGGGCTACTGGTCCAGTCAAACGTTCAATCTCAACGAGGAACGTCATCAACACGACCAGACCATATATCATCCAAACCACAATATAACTCTGAACACTACGGACGTTCAGGAACCAAAGCCGTTCTACAAGGCTCAACACAACACAGCATTACTCAGCCAAAGGATATGCAAGGAGTTGTTCACTCCATGGCTTCACAGGTCGGACAAACCCACAACGAACCTAATCTAATATCTTCCGAACCAAATCTCTACGAATCTACGCAAAACGTTGTCTTTGATTCTACCCCAAAGGAAGTAAGTGGCTCAGTATACGACCAACAAACGTATCAACCTACACAAAAAATATATTCTCGTCAAGGACCAGGAACTGACCATCAGTATACTTCTGGCATAGTTGACTCAGTCAATGTCATGAAACCAGTTACAACACCTAATAGAGATGCACAGCCAGTAGCAGCAGCGAACACTGAAGCACAGACCACATCATCCTACCAAGGAAATGTCTTACAAGATGTTAACTTCAACGGAAGACTGGATGCACAGCCTGTTGGAGCTGTTGTTGGCAAAAATATTATCAAAACTAGTTCAAAGGATATGCAAGGCATTAACACACTGGGCACATCCAAAGATGTGCCATCAGTTCAGGGAGCAACATCCAGTGATGTGAAGAATACAATGCAAGACAGGGCAGCGAGTGGGAATCAAGTTGATGTATCTGCTAGTAGATATCAGAACATGGGACTTGGTGTAGAACAATCACAGGCTGGAGGCTTGTCAACATCGGGTGGACAACAATCTATGTCTAATCAAGCTGCCTCAGCAAGCGGACAGTACACATCTGGGGGCTTGTCAACACCTGGTGGACAACAATCTATGTCTAATCTGCTTCAACAATCAAATGGAGCTGGCATCAACAATCGGCATCTAACCAAGTTGCCTCAAACAGTACACATCTGAGACTTGTCAACATCTGGTGAACAACAATCTATATCTAATCAAGCTGCCTCAACAAGCGGACAGTACACATCTATGTCTAATCAATGCTAATCAAGCTGCCTCAACAAGCGGACAGTACACATCTGGGGACTTGTCCGCATCTGGTGGACAACAATCTATATCTAATCAAGCTGCCTCAACAAGCGGACAGTACACAACTGGAGATTTGTCCGTATCTGGTGGACAACAATCTATGTCTAATCAAGCTGCCTCAACAAGTGGACAGTACACAAATGGAGACTGGTTTACATCTGAAGGACAACAATCGGCATCTAACCAAGTTGCCTCAAATAGTGGACAGTACGGAGCTGTAGACTTGTCAACATCTGGTGGACAACAATCTATATCTAATAAAGTTGCCTCAACAAGCGGACAGTACACAACTGGAGATTTGTCGACATTTGGTGGACAACAACCTATGTCTAATCAAATTGCCCCAACAAGTGGACAGTACACAACTGGTGACTTGTCGACATTTGGTGGACAACAATCTATGTCTAATCAAGTTGTCTCAACAAGCGGACAGTACACAACTGGAGACTTGTCGACATTTGGTGGACAACAACCTATGTCTAATCAAGTTGCCTCAACAAGCGGACAGTACACAACTGGAGACTTGTCGACATTTGGTGGACAACAACCTATGTCTAATCAAGTTGCCTCAACAAGCGGACAGTACACAACTGGAGACTTGTCGACATTTGGTGGACAACGATCTATGTCTAATCAAGCTGCCTCAACAAGCGGACAGTACACATCTGGAGACTTGTCCGCATCTGGTGGACAACAATCTATATCTAATCAAGCTGCCTCAACAAGCGGACAGTACACATCTGGAGATTTGTCCGTATCTGGTGGACAACAATCTATGTCTAATCAAGCTGCCTCAACAAGTGGACAGTACACAAATGGAGACTGGTTTACATCTGAAGGACAACAATCGGCATCTAACCAAGTTGCCTCAAATAGTGGACAGTACGGAGCTGTAGACTTGTCAACATCTGGTGGACAACAATCTATATCTAATAAAGTTGCCTCAACAAGCGGACAGTACACAACTGGAGATTTGTCGATATTTGGTGGACAACAACCTATGTCTAACCAAGTTGCCTCAACAAGTGGACAGTACACAACCGGAGATTTGTCCGTATCTGGTCGACGACAATCTATGTCTAATCAAGCTGCCTCAACAAGTGGACAGTACACAACCGGAGGCTTGTCAACATCTGGTGGACAACAATCTATGTCTAATCAAGCTGCCTCAACAAGCGGACAGTACACAACTGGAGACTTGTCGACATCTGGTGGACAACAATCTATATCTAATCAAGCTGCCTCAACAAGCGGACAGTACACAACTGGAGACTTGTCGACATTTGGTGGACAACAATCTATGTCTAATGAAGCTGCCTCAACAAGCGGACAGTACACATCTGGGGACTTGTCCGCATCTGGTGGACAACAATCTATATCTAATCAAGCTGCCTCAACAAGCGGACAGTACACAACTGGAGATTTGTCCGTATCTGGTGGACAACAATCTATGTCTAATCAAGCTGCCTCAACAAGTGGACAGTACACAAATGGAGACTGGTTTACATCTGAAGGACAGCAATCGGCATCTAACCAAGTTGCCTCAACAAGTGGACAGTACGGAGCTGTAGACTTGTCAACATCTGGTGGACAACAATCTATATCTAATAAAGTTTCCTCAACAAGTGGACAGTACACAACTGGAGATTTGTCGATATTTGGTGGACAACAACCTATGTCTAATCAAGTTGTCTCAACAAGCGGACAGTACACAACTGGAGACTTGTCGACATTTGGTGGACAACAACCTATGTCTAATCAAGTTGTCTCAACAAGCGGACAGTACACAACTGGAGACTTGTCGACATTTGGTGGACAACAACCTATGTCTAATCAAGTTGCCTCAACAAGCGGACAGTACACAACTGGAGACTTGTCGACATTTGGTGGACAACAACCTATGTCTAATCAAGTTGCCTCAACAAGCGGACAGTACACAACTGGAGACTTGTCGACATTTGGTGGACAACAACCTATGTCTAATCAAGTTGCCTCAACAAGCGGACAGTACACATCTGGGGACTTGTCCGCATCTGGTGGACAACAATCTATATCTAATCAAGCTGCCTCAACAAGCGGACAGTACACAACAGGAGATTTATCCGTATCTGGTGGACAACAACAACCTATGTCTAATCAAGTTGCCTCAACAAGCGGACAGTACACAACTGGAGACTTCTCAACATTTGGTGGACAACAATCTATGTCTAACCAAGCTGCCTCAACAATTGGACAGTACACAACCGGAGATTTGTCCGTATCTGGTCGACGACAATCTATGTCTAATCAAGCTGCCTCAACAAGCGGACAGTACACAACCGGAGGCTTGTCAACACCTGGTGGACAACAATCTATGTCTAATCAAGCTGCCTCAACAAGCGGACAGTACACAACTGGAGGACTTGTCAACATTTGGTGGACAACAATCTATATCTAATCAAGCTGCCTCAACAAGCGGACAGTACACATCTGGGGACTTGTCCGCATCTGGTGGACAACAATCTATATCTAATCAAGCTGCCTCAACAAGTGGACAGTACACAACTGGAGATTTGTCAATCGTCTAATCAATCTGACAGTGGAGGCTTGTCAACAATCTGGTGGACAACAATCTATCTAATCAAGCTGCCTCAACAAGTGGACAGTACACAAACTTGGAGACTGGTTATACATCTGAAGTACACAACAATCGGACAACAATCATCTAATCAAGTTGCTTCAACAAGTGGACAGTACACAACTGGAGACTTGTCGACATTTGGTGGACAACAATCTATGTCTAATCAAGTTGCCTCAACAAGCGGACAGTACACAACTGGAGACTTGTCAACATCTGGTGGACAACAATCTATGTCTAATAAAGTTGCTTCAACAAGCGGACAGTACACAACTGGAGACTTGTCGATATTTGGTGGACAACAACCTATGTCTAATCAAGTTGCTTCAACAAGTGGACAGTACACAACTGGAGATTTGTCGACATCTGGTGGACAACAATCTAATATGTCTAATCAAGCTGCCTCAACAAGTGGACAGTACACAACCGGAGGCTTGTCAACACCTGGTGGACAACAATCTATGTCTAATCAAGCTGCCTCAACAAGTGGACAGTACACAACTGGAGGCTTGTCAACATCTGGTGGACAACAATCTATATCTAATCAAGCTGCCTCAACAAGCGGACAGTACACAACTGGGGACTTGTCAACATTTGGTGGACAACAATCTATATCTAATCAAGCTGCCTCAACAAGCGGACAGTACACATCTGGGGACTTGTCCGCATCTGGTGGACAACAATCTATATCTAATCAAGCTGCCTCAACAAGCGGACAGTACACAACTGGAGACTTCTCAACATTTGGTGGACAACAATCTACATCTAATCAAGCTGCCTCAACAAGTGGACAGTACACAACTGGAGGCTTGTCAACACCTGGTGGACAACAATCTATGTCTAATCAAGCTGCCTCAACAAGCAGACAGTACACAACTGGAGGCTTGTCAACACCTGGTGGACAACAATCTATGTCTAATCAAGCTGCCTCAACAAGTGGACAGTACACAACTGGAGGCTTGTCAACACCTGGTGGACAACAATCTATGTCTAATCAAGCTGCCTCAACAAGTGGACAGTACACAACTGGAGACTTGTCAACATTTGGTGGACAACCATCTATATCTAATCAAGCTGCCTCAACAAGCGGACAGTACACAACTGGAGGCTTGTCAACACCTGGTGGACTGGAATCTATGTCTTATCAAGCTGCCTCAACAAGTGGACAGTACACAACTGGAGGCTTGTCAACACCTGGTGGACAACAATCTATGTCTAATCAAGCTGCCTCAACAAGCGGACAGTACACAACTGGAGACTTGTCGACATTTGGTGGACAACCATCTACATCTAATCAAGTTGCCTCAACAAGCGGACAGTACGCAACTGGAGGCTTGTCAACACCTGGTGGACAACAATCTATGTCTAATCAAGCTGCCTCAACAATTGGACAGTACACAACTGGAGACTTGTCAACATTTGGTGGACAACCATCTATGTCTAATCAAGCTGCCACAACAAGTGGACAGTACACAACAGGAGACTTGTCGACATTTGGTGGACAACTATCTATGTCTAATCAAGCTGCCTCAACAAGCGGACAGTACACATCTGGGGATTTGTCCGTATCTGGTGGACAACAATCTATATCTAATCAAGATGCTTCAACAAGCGGACAGTACACAACTGGAGGCTTGTCAACACCTGGTGGACTGGAATCTATGTCTTATCAAGCTGCCTCAACAAGTGGACAGTACACAACTGGAGGCTTGTCAACACCTGGTGGACAACAATCTATGTCTAATCAAGCTGCCTCAACAAGCGGACAGTACACAACTGGAGGCTTGTCAACACCTGGTGGACAACAATCTATGTCTAATCAAGTTGCCTCAACAATCGGACAGTACACAACTGGAGATTTGTCCGTATCTGGTGGACAACAATCTATATCTAATCAAGATGCCTCAACAAGCGGACAGTACACAACAGGAGACTTGTCAACATTTGGTGGACAACAATCTATGTCTAATCAAGCTGCTTCAACAAGTGGACAGTACACAAATGGAGACTGGTTTACATCTGAAGGACAACAATCGGCATCTAACCAAGTTGCCTCAAATAGTGGACAGTACGGAGCTGTAGACTTGTCAACATCTGGTGGACAACAATCTATGTCTAATCAAGCTGCCTCAACAAGTGGACAGTACACAAATGGAGTCTTGTTGACATCTGGTGGACAACTATCAGCATCTAATGAAGCTGCCTCAACAAGCGGACAGTACACAACTCGAGACTTTTCCGCATCTGGAGGACAGCATTCTATATCTAACCAAGCTGCTTCAATCAATGGCCAGTACGGACCTCTGGACTTTCCAGCTCCAGCTGGACACCAACCTTCATCTACTCAAGGCCCCACATCAACAAGTGGTCAGCATGGAACTGTAGACTTGGCAACATCTGCTGGGCAGCAATTGGCACCTGGTGAAGCTGGCACTACAAGTGAACAGTACAGGATTGTCGACATTCGAAAATCTGGTGGAAAAAAATCTACCTCTAATCATGTGGCAACAACAAGTGGACAATACGGAGCTGTAGACTTGTCAGGATCTGCTGGGCAGCAACTAACACCTAGTCAAGTAGTCACATTAGCAAGCGGAGAGTACAGAACTGTAGACGTTCCAACATCTCATGGACTGCAATTAACACGGGAGGAGACATTACATCAAGGAGTCACATCATCCAATACTCAATATCGGGCTAAGGATATGACTACCTCTCCTGGAACACAAGTTTTACATGACCTGACACAGACCACAACAAACAACGGAATATCTACATATAGATCAGTGCAACAAGATACTGCAAACAGCAGAAATAAGATCAAAGAAGAATTAGCTGAAAAGTCTGTCGGGCATACATCAGAAGCCAGTTCCATGTTAGTGGGAATCCCTCAATTTATTAATGACCAAACTAACCTGAATCAATATTTAGGAGTCAGTCCTGTGGCTGCAGGTGGTGCTGATCAGTTGGGCACAGTAGAAAGACAATCTTCAAAAAAGGTAGATTTGCAAGGCCTAATGCCAATTGTCGCTGGCGGATTTGGAATGAACGGTGCAACTGGTGAAACACGAGACTCTTTTCATAACACTGTGCTGTCTGGTTTAACAGGACAAGGACACGATAGCTTTAATGGGCATCTAGGCGTACAAGAAATTCGCACCCAGCAGGGCGCTTCGGACATTGTGTCAAACCAAGGACTGGTATCACCAGCTGGACAATCTATAATACAAGATATGTCATCAAATGGTAACCTGTATGGTAACCTTGATTTGTTGGGAGGTCAAGGACTATCAGTTACAAGTAGTCAGCACGCAGATATTGAGTCGACGAGACCAAATATTGCAACAGTGGCAATAGGCGAGTCAACCTACACAATACCGCCTGTGTTCCTTGCACAGGACTCCGGACTTGCCAGCAATAATCATTTGGAAAAAGAAGCGGTCACGGAACAAGGCTCTGATGGAACGCGTAACATACTACAAAGGGGTAGTGAGGGCACAAGTCTCGAGAAGGAATTTCTGAGTTTGTTATTGCACAGTAGAAGCCAGGATTCACAATCAACAAACACACATTATGATCCTTTGGCCGGCCAAGGTAACGTTAACCCCACCCAAGTACCGCAGAGAAACCATGTCCTGGAAAATACTAACACTTTTAATGCTACTAAGCAAAGTTCCAAAATGACAATCATAGAAAATACCCGTAGTGGATTTTATATTAACAAAACAAATGCAAACACTGTATCCACTCCTTCTAACCGCCCAAATCCCCGCCTTCCTGTATTGAATGAAGTAGATGCGTATCCAGTATTACCCTCCTCTACCCGGGCCCGTGGAGCCTCAGTCCAAACTACTTTTGAGATCAACCCCGTCACTAAAACTGAAACTGGTACTAATCACAAACCAAGCTCTATTTCTAGTGCACAGAAAGCCGATACATCTGTTGGAAACGATCCAATCGATATAAGAATAGCCGCAGTTCCAGGATCGAAAACAAAGGACACTTTTCCCAAGGGGATAAGTAATAGAATCACCGAAGACCAAAATGCATCTGCAACAGAGCGAGCCAGGATGGCCGTCAGATCAGATACGTCCTTGTCATTTCAGAAGACACCCTCCATTCAAAGCAGGACACGAACACCCCTGAACAGTTTCAATGTGTTTCAACCCATAGAGTTTGGAGCAGGACAACAGCAGAAGTCAAATCAAATGTATGACTCAAGTCTTCCAAGTGTTATCTCAGAGACTACCGTTCCTGCCTTTGCAACTGGACATCAAGAGTTTATCAGCTTTCCTCAAGGTAAATCACCCAAAATTACGCATGTACTCCCTACATCGTCCCTGTCCACCACACACACTATAGGACGCAACACAAATTCCACCTTTCCTCAAGCAGTATCGAACAACAAATCCTTTATCAATACGTTCACTTCCAACATTTCAAACACTATCAATTCCGAAATTCAAAACTTACAAAACGACACCGCCACGCACACTGCCACAACATCCCCAGTATCACTACCTAAAATACAGTCTAATTCAAAACAATCAGCTTTAAATAGCAACACTAAAGCCTTAGCAGCAACGTTACAAAGTCAATCAGTGTCACAAGCAAATACAATCGATATCCATTTACCTGTATACCATAATACTCTTGAACCAACACCACATGATGTTCCTCAGTTCACCAAAAGCAGTGCATTTTACTCGTCACAAGATGCTGTAACAAGGGGTAGTGTCCTTCACAGTGGCCTGCCGTCAGTCAGTCAGAGGACACTCAGAACTCAGGGGAAATTCATTCTAGTTTTGATAATAAGCAGTCTGTTTCTGAGGGTAGCACTGTCATCAGAGAAGGAGTTGACACTTCATCCAACTTTTTATCCCAAAGTATAAATAACATTCAAGTGCATTTAGGCCCTGCGGCTAGAAAATCGAGCAAATTCAGTTTGGAAAACAATTCCAAATCAGCAAAAGAAATCCCAACTGGAACAATCCCAACTCCCAAGTGCGCTACTGTAATCTGCATAGACAAGCACATCAGTTCAAAGAAGATCAAAGAATATTTGACAAAAAATCCTTCCCCAAAGGCTATAGGGAGTTTACAATTAGAAGCGCCACCATCGTCAAGTACAAATACCAACATTAATGCCGTTTCGTACAAAGCAGCTGGTAACAGCATTAGTTCATCCCGAGAGGCACTTCAGACTGACCTCCAGGTACTTCCTTTTGTGATCCCATTAGCCCAAGGAGATGGCATACGTCAGTCCTCTTCCTCACACAGTGTAGTACATGGTGTTGGCGCCAATCAAAGTCGTAAATCATCTCGTAGCCAGGATACACTCAAAGAAATACCCACTGGTATAACCCCTGCATCTGTAGACAGAGCTGCACCTGGGCATCCTTGGTTGGACATTACCCCGAGAACTCATGGCATATCAGCATCACCTGATAATTTAGAACCCTATACTCAAACACACTCTGGACGTGCCCAGAACACAAATACACCTCCAGCATCATCAGACACAAAAGGTAGTACTTCACATCAAACACTGAAATGTGTGACACAAACCTGCATAGAAAAGAATATAAGTGAAACTAAACTCAGGACATATATGACAAGCAATGCTTCACCTAAGGCTATAGGGAATAGGCAAGTAGATGCACTAACATCCATAGGAACAAAATCCAGTACCGCCGCTATTACGAACGATGTAGCCACTTCCCTCACATCATCATTGAAATCCGTTACACACAACACTAAAAATATGCATCTGATAGATATATTAACATCTAACACTGATTCGTCTGAAACATATCCACTTTTAAACACTGGACGTAATATTCAAACGCCAAAACAATTAAACACCGGTTCTAATAATGATCTGGCACATGCTCCACACGTGCCAACGAACACTGGAACTGACAATGCACATTCTTCTGATATTTCAACACAGAGTGTCAGTACACAATCGAACACTCGCTTATTCAATACTCCAGTGCCTCATATAAACCTAACAACACAATCTGAAAGAACTCATTCCAACACGAGTCCCTCTGATAATCCAGCACATTATCCATACCTGACAACACAGACTGAAAGCGTTAGTACGCATTCCAGATTGGGTTCTCCTATTGATCCAATACATCCCACAAACACGGCAGCAAACATTGGAACTGATACTATTTATTCAAACACAAGGTCTTCGATTCTTACATTTCCTGGAAATAGTGAAAATTCAAAAACAGGTTCGTCCGATATTCCATCACTTTCTACATACGCACCAGCAATCACAACCACTGCTAGTAAACAATCAAGCACAGTGTTTTCTAATATTCAAACACAACCTAAGTACTCGCCAACGAGCGTTGACAAAGGTAGTACACGTTCAAACACAGGGTCTCCTATTCATCCAACATACCCGCCAACAAATCAGGCAACGAATAGTATTTATCCAAACACAGATTCTTCTTTTTTTCTGTCTCATCCAATGCACACACCAACCAACACTGGAACAGCTAGTACACATTCGTCTATTCCTCTAACACATCCTGCAACTGATAGTATTTATTCAAACACAGGTTCGTCTGTTCTTCTGACTCATCCAACATACACAACAGCAGACCCTTTACGAGGTAGTACACATTTAAACTCAGAGGCTTCTAATCTTCCAATACATCCTACATACCCCCCGACTAATATTGGCAATAATGGCATACTTTCAACATCAGGGTTTTATATTCTGCCAACTCAACCTCCAAGCGGGCCAACAAATCCTGCACCTGAAAGCACAAATTCAAATACATGGTCTTCTGTTGTTACAACAGATATTGGAACAGTTAGTACAAATTCCAAAACAAGTTCGTTAGATATCTCATCACATCCCACATACGCAGCCACAAACCCTGCAACTGCAGGTATACATACAAATTCCGGGGCTTCTGGTATCCCAACACATTCAAATTTGACAAACAACGAATCACTAAACCCAAGACATGGAATACCACTAGCACCAGACAGTTCCATCCACAATACATTCCACCAACAACCACAGTCTGGACTTATCCAGGACACTAATTATTCTCAGTCACCGGAAGACACAACCGGTAATACCTCCAACCACGTCCTGCAGGAACACCATTCCAATCAAACAAAACAAAATTCTAATCAAACACTTAAAGCTTCGAAATGTGTGACAGAAATCTGCATCGACAAAACAATTAATCAAGGAAAACTATATGCATATCTGACAAGCAATGCTTCGCCTAAGGCAGTAGGGAATATGCAACTAGATGCAGTACCATCCATATCTACAAACAACAAAACCGACTCTATTACGAAAGAAATATCCACTTCAAATGTAAGCGAATCCACTTCATCACTGCGTCCAGTGCAATACGAAACAAATCCCTTGCAACCAATGGAGGCATCAAGTACATCTGGTCCTCCTAATATTCACACTGCACATCTGACTGCAAACACTGGTATTACTAGTGCACATTCAAATCCAGGGTCTGCTAATATTCCAAATCATCCCACTCACCCGCCAACAAACACTGATTTTAATCGAACACATTCGAGCACTGATTCTTCTCCAACTTCATCACACCTCACATACGCAACAAATATTGAAACTGCAAGTACAAATTCAAAATCAGGTTCGTCTAATATCCCATCACATCCCATATTTGCAACAATAAACTCTGCAACTGCAGGTATGCATACACATTTCGGCGTATCTGATATTCCAACACATTCTACAGAGGCAACAAAAAACACTGGGATTGATGGCACACATTCCAAAGCAACTTCTTATAATATGTCCCCACATCCTACATTTGCACCAACAAACACTGAAACTGCCATTTCAGATCCAAACACTGTTTCTTCCATCATGCCAACAAATCCAGCATATGAGCCATTAGAAACAAGCACTTATGATCTTTCCTCTGAACATATTCCAACAACGCCAGTATTCAAACCAATGAATAGTCAACCAGCAAGCACCCACCAGGATTCTTCTCAATCTTGGACACACGACACTGACACGCCACTGAACACACAGCTGTCTGGTAGACATACTTCTACAGTTACTTTACAAATATTTGCACAACATACTTCCGCTCCACCAAAATCCGGACCTGATACTACAAATCCCACAACAGACAACCATATCACTGGAGACAAATTCAAGGCAAACTTGACAAAAAGTGAACCACAAAACCGAACACATGGGCTATCAGTTGCATCAGACAGTTCCAGCCACAAAATATTCCATAATCAGACACAATCTGGACTTATCCAGGACACCAATTATTCTCAATCACCGGAAGACACAAGCGGTAATACCTCAAACAATGTCCTGCAGGAACACCATTCCAATCAAACAAAACAAAATTCTAATCAAACACTTAAAGCTTCGAAATGTGTGACAGAAATCTGCATCGACAAAACAATTAATCAAGGAAAACTATATGCATATCTGACAAGCAATGCTTCGCCTAAGACAATAGGGAATATGCAACTAGACGCAGTACCATCCTTACCTACAAACAACAAAACCGACTTTATTACGAATGAAATATCCACTTTAAATGTAAATGAGGTCTCTTCATCAATGAGTTCAGTGAACAGCGACACAAAATCCTTGCATACAATCAATTCGTTATCAAGTAAATCTGGTCCTCCTAATATTCACACTACACACCGGACTACAAACACTGGTAGTGCTAGTGTACATTCAATTGAAAGTTCTGCTAACAGTCCGCACAATCCTAGTCACCCAACTAATCCTCAGGTTGATAGAGAACATTTCAACAAAGATGCTCCTAATTTTCCAACATATCCACCAACAAACAGTGGTCCAGATAACCCTCATTCGAACTTTGTTTCGACAAAAACTGTAGCACTTACAGACCCGTCCATAAACACTGGAACTGATAGTACACTTTCAAACATGGATTCTTCCACTTCTAGTATACATTCCAGCCAAAGTTCGACAAATAGTCAAGTAATTGAAACGCTCGGGACAACAGACACTAGCACGCATTCAAGCGGTCGCTCTTCCAGTGTTTCAACACATACTTTATATCAGTCAACCAACACAGGTTCTTCTAACATTCCAACATATCCGTCAGACACATCCGGGAATATTGCAACTGCCAGTATACATTCAAACACAGTATTTTCCAGTTCTCAAACACATTCTACAAATCCGCCCACAAACGCTAGAACGGCTACCACACGATCGAACACTATTTTGTTTGATTTTCCAACACATACTTTTGATACATATACTGAAAGTGCCAGTGCACATTCTAATACAGTATCTTCGAACATTCTTATAAGCTCAACAAACCCGCCAACAAACAGCAAAGTTGCAAATTCAAACAAGAGATCTTCGAATGTTCCAACACATCTTACATTCCCTTCAAGACACATTGGAACTTCTGGTATACATTCAAATACTGTTTCTTACATTCAATCTCATTCTACAAACCCACCACCAAACACTGAAAATGGTATTGAACAATCAAAAACACATACAGGGGATCCGTCTATAAAGGTTGTAACAGCTAGCACATATTCAAACACTGGTTCTTCGAATGTTCCAACACATCTTACATTCCCTTCAAGACACATTGGAACTTCTGGTATACATTCAAATACTGTTTCTTACATTCAATCTCATTCTACAAACCCACCACCAAACACTGAAAATGGTATTGAACAATCAAAAACACATACAGGGGATCCGTCTATAAAGGTTGTAACAGCTAGCACATATTCAAACACTGGTTCTTCGAATGTTCCAACACATCTTACATTCCCTTCAAGACACATTGGAACTTCTGGTATACATTCAAATACTGTTTCTTACATTCAATCTCATTCTACAAACCCACCACCAAACACTGAAAATGGTATTGAACAATCAAAAACATATACAGGGGATCCGTCTATAAAGGTTGTAACAGCTAGCACATATTCAAACACTGGTTCTTCTAATGCTCCTAAACATCCTACATTCCCACCAATAGACAATAACACTGCGGGTGGACATTTCGGCACAGTGTCTACTAATATACTAACCCACTCTACCGATCCACTGAAAACCGAAGAAACTGCTAGCAAACATTTAAACACAGGGCCTACAAACATTACAACAAATCCTGCAGATCCGTCTACAAACGCTGGAACTACGGTTTCATCAATTACCGGACCTAATATTCCTTCACATCCTATACACCCCTTAACAAACAATGGATATAAAGATTTAAACACAGGCAGTAACGTTCCAACAAATTCTCCACATCCATCCACAAACACTGCAACTAGTAGCACACGCTCCTCGAATATCCCAACTAATTCTCTATCAGTGCCACGAAACACTGGAACTGCTGGTATACCTTCCAACTCAGGCTCGTCTACTACCCTAGAACATTCCACACATGGACGGGCAAACAATGGAACTGCTGGTATCCCTTCCAACTCAGGCTCGTCTACTACTCTAGAACATTCCACACTTGCACTGGGAAACACTGGAACTGCTGGTATCCCTTCCAAATCAGGCTCGTCTACTACCCTAGAACATTCCACACATGCACGGGCAAACAATGGAACTGCTGGTATCCCTTCCAAATCAGGCTCGTCTACTACCCTAGAACATTCCACACATGCACTGAGAAACACTGGAACTGTTGGTATACCATCAAACTCAGGCTCGTCTACTATCCTAGAACATTCCACACGTGCACTGGGAAACACTGGAACATTCCACAACGTGCACTGAACATTCCACACATGGAAACACTGGAACTACTGGTATACCATCCAACTCAGGCTCGTCTACTATCCTAGAACATTCCACACATGCACTGGGAAACACTGGAACTACTGGTATACCATCCAACTCAGGCTCGTCTACTATCCTAGAACATTCCACACGTGCACTGGGAAACACTGGAACTACTGGTATACCATCCAACACAGGCATGCACTGGGAAACACTGGAAATACGAGAACACATTCACACATAAGTTTTGCAAATATCCCAGCTGACTCTACATACGCATCCACAAACACAGGAACTACCGGTACACATAGAAACAGTGGCTCTCAGACAACATTCGAGTCACAAAACACTGTATCTGCCAATTCGCATTCGACCACAAAGTCGTCCAGTTTTCTAGCACATCATACATACACGGCAACAAACATTCAACGTGTCTCTAATAAGCCAGGAAATCCAACCCCACACACTGAAACAGCCAGTCCCTCCTTACCCGAAATTGTTAACGCACAAACTAGAGACAACCCAATCATCCCTGAAAGACTAACATTTGAATCTACTGATGCTCACAGTCTATCTGCACAACATTCTGCAATTGGAAAGCAAGACAAGACAACAACCTCTGTGAAAGAGCCTTTGAGCCATCTCGAGGGTACAAGCAATACCCCAAATCGTATTCTGCCAGGTTTTGCTTCATCTTTTTACAGCACTATAGCAGGTCAAAATGGGCCCAGTGCTACTCCTGTTCCCTTGAACGTCAAGTCTTTAGATGGTGATGGTGGTGCATTAGGCGGTGTAACTCTTGAGAAACATCTAACACGATCAGGTCAACTTCCTAACACTAAATGCTCTCCAGTAACCTGCATAGATAAGCATATAAGTGATGCCAAGGTTCAGGCATATTTAGACAGCAATGCTTCACCGAAGGCCACAGGGAAGCTAAAATCGACGGGAACAGCTACATCCTATGGTGAAACACATCCCCATGTTAACACTGTTTTCATCCAAACAGTTGCGTCAGCAAGTAACACTGTTCAACAAACGTCAGGGTTGGATCAGTCAAACACTGTTTCTGAAGGTAAAGATGCTAATACAACAATGCAAGACATTCACAATCACAGAAAGGTGCAAAGCGGAAAACAATCACATCATACACAGACCCTTAACAAACCAAATACTGCAGTATATCAGCTTGATGCTGAACGCAATGTCAGTGTTCCAACACAGTCAGTTACTTCAGCAAACTGCACCACGAAAACATGCACAGCTAAAATGATCAGTGCCACAACACGAAATTCCCTTTCGACACATAATACATCGCCCAGCGCCGCTCTACACTTAGACGGACAGCCATTACCTACAAATAGCAATTCTGAAACCGTTTCAAAAAGTGTACTTTCTTCATATGGACGTACCGTTACTCCAGCAGAGAGTATAACCAATATATATTCACAGTCAACTAGCAATAGCAGTAGAATCAATCAGGGAAAGAATAAAGTATCTACACAGATATTCAGCAAGATTTCTCCATCTTTATCTAAATGTCACACTCCAAACTGTATCGATAAACAGAAAATAAATGCAACCTTGAAAACAAATATGACTAATAAGGAAACACCAACAGGCACAGATAAAATACATTCTAAACTGGAAACATTATTTCATACAAGACACCACTCAGCGCACATGTTACAAGAACAATCATCTCAGAAAGGATATGCTTTCACTCCCACAGAATCCTACAAGTACACTCCCAAACCTGTAGAGGGACAGTCAGTTCCATTATCAGAGAATAACATTAACCACCCCGTTGTCCCTCACACCGTAGCTGATTCCATCAATATCCTCCAACACTCACCCAATAAAGAAGCTTCCAGTCAAGAGTCCAAGTCCCATAGACATCATGTGAATACAGTGAACAAGCCCTTGAGTACGAATGGAGATGCCATAGTGCAAGACAACAAAATACAGCACTACGTACAAAGGTATGGAGCACCCAAGGTTGAAATAGAAATATCCACTACTGGAGCTTCTCGTGGTGAAGCATCTGTCCTCCATGGTGAAAAACAGTCCAAACCACAGACAAAAAGCCAAAGCAGCTTCCAACAGGAAAACAACGGGTTTGGTACCAGTTCGGATTCAAAATGCAACAAAACGGAAACTTGTATTGATATGCATATAAGTCATTCGCTGCTTAAAGCGTATTTAGCAAGGAAAGTAGCGCCTACTCCAATCGGACAAATGTCTCTTGACACAATTGCTTTACGTACAGAGTCTGATGGAAGTTCTGATACACAACGTGCTCCTCACATGTACATTTTCAGCACACGAGATTCCGGTTACAATTCTGTAAACCCTGTACCACAAGAACCTAGCGAGACATCTAAAGAACTGAATGAGAGTGAGGTTGAGGTGAAAGCTATTTTTTCAAATAATAGGAGGACACGTGCGTCTGGGTTGAGTCCTACAGACCCTTTCAAGACATATGCAAACGAATTTGGGAACCAGAGAAGAATCCCTGCCAATAGAGTATCATCTAACAATAGAGCTGGTCACAATGCTGAGGTAGGCACACCTGAACTGCATCGCGCAGCAGTTAGTACTGAGATGGGAGCACATTCAGAAAATGGTATTTCAAGTTCAAAACATCAAGGATTCACAGGTCATAAGACATTGCATGAAATGCAACCGTTGTCTGGGATCATGAAGGGTATGGGGGGAAGTCAAAAACAAAATTGGAGGTTAAATGGGGGTGGTGAAAAGAGCAAACAAGGCGGAGCACACACAGGAACAGACCGACAATTTTCTACAAGCACTGATGCCTCTTCCCCTGCATCTCCTCCTTCCCATCCCTCGATTATCCCTCCCACTCCTAGTAGAGGGGGTCACACCCCAACCTTACCAGGTTTGTACCTTCATAAAGTATGGTGCTGGCATCATCCTTAAGGTATGTAAACATATATTTTGTTTTCAGTGCGACAAATACCATCAAAAGATTCCTTGTCTCTTTCAAACGTTTAGAATTATTACGATGTTTTCCCAGTGAAATATTGAAATATTTGTGAAGGCAAGATATTAAACATGCCGACCGCAAGGACGACGTGGGAGATTTGATGTTATTAAAAAGTCATAGAGAGCCCATGTTATATATCACGCATATGTTTCACTGAACGTGTAACACATGTCACCCTCAGACTATTTACATATACGTTCTGATGCTTGAGTGTAACTTAGCATTCTTTGTTCCTATTTCCAGGTCTGTTCGACTATACGGCTGTGAACGGACAAGGTATTGGCAACCTGCAATCGGAATTAGATACACAGTAACCAAACTGAAAATACAAATAGTTGTGTTGACAATACCCAAGACGGCTCCTTGGAACAATTATACATGTTTATCTGGAAGTATAAAGCACTGCGAATCGTTTTGTGTCGGATTAGCCCTGACATGATCTCGCCAAGTGGACTAGTTTCATAGGACAGTATACCAGGCTTTAGTGAACATTTTGATTTGAAAAACACATTCAAAATATAAACCCTATGGTTGGGTTTTACACAGTGGTACCAGTGTGGCCACGAATGGAGTACTATTCAAGCTGTGTAGTTATTCTCACAAGTCGAGAAATGACGAATTGGATGTTGTGTCGTTCAGTATGGTCACAACCTGTGCAGATACACATGCTCCTACGTTTGGTGACATAAGATCCTTGTTAATGCAATATACATACAGCTGGTGCTCTTTTTACTGGTCTAAATGCACACATATATACAGTGGGTGTTTCTTGTTTTAACCCCCTATGTACCCAGAGTAACATCGGGGCAGTGGGGTAGCCTAGTGGTTAAAGCGTTTGCTCGTCACGCTGAACAATCGGGTTCGATTCCCACATATGTACAATCTGGGAAGCCAATTTCTGGTGTCCCCCGCCGCGATATTGCTGAAATATTGCCAAAAGCGGCGAAAAACTAAACCCACTCACTGACTGTGCTTAATGAAAAACATATTTAGTAAAGCATGACTAATGACTGTCTGAATATGCCAACGTGTATTCAGTGAGACCGATCTAGGTTGACATTTCATCATCATATTGTCCCTCATTTGACCATTGGCCACTCGGTATAATTGTAATATTCATAAATGCATTTCAGGCGGAGGTTACTCAGGTACGACGGAATATGGACCCATTTCAAATGATGTGATGCAGTTCTTATCTACACAAGGTTTTAACAACTTAGGTTAGTATCACCTTAGATCGCGTACAATGTTTTCATAAGATCATTATCTTTATAATAGGAATGCAGGCAATGTTTTTTGGAAGTGAATTGCGTATACATTTGCAAAGGATGCGTGTATTTGATTAACTAATCACGAAGGATCGATATCTTACTGCTGCTTCATGGTCCTACACAATCAATACTTTATTGATTTTTGTTTCGCTTGTCACGCCTTGACCCGGGTTCGATTCCCAACATGGATATAATGTGTGAAGCATTTCTGGTGTGATAGTTCTGGAATATTGCTAAAAACGGTGTAAAACTACACTCGCTCACTCACCTTTCTTCATACAACCATGGTATTTGTACAAGCATAATGATTATATTTGTACATCGTTGTTTGATAGTTTGGTTCAATTTTGTTGTTTTATAAACTGTATGCATGATAGCATTCATTAGTGAGTGATACATGTCTTTGGTAGCTATTTCATTCTTATAGCATCAAAAGTTGCATATACAAGAAAAAATGGTTCTTAGTTTCTATGCCCCGTATATGTAAATATATTTTGCCACCTACGTTTAAATTATTTATCCACCGACAAAGCAGTTCTCAAGCCTTAAGAAGACTAATTTGATACTCCAATTCACTATTTGCGAAAACGACAACACTTTTCTGGTTATCAAAATACATGTGGTATGCTCTGGGAACGTTATACCTTGAACTATTGTTAATTGTAAATTGTAGGTATTAAATGTTGATACAGCATACTTAATAAACCATATCTCATTACCATCCGTCTGCGAATGCCGAACAACACCAACACCGTAAGAACATCGTAGGTATCATATTTGTGAAGCCCCGTTCTTATACCCTACATTAATATTACTTCACAACCGTACCCAAATCTATTTTACTATTGTTAGTTTATTTACGATGGTTATGAGCCATATTCGCCTTAAACGAGATCGTCAGTGTTTGCAGAAGCCAGTAAATAGATTTTTGCCATACTCTCAGATCTTCCAAATTTCATATGCATACTAAAAGGACTAATCTGACTAAAATATTTTAAAGAATACTTCTGGGATAGAAACACGTATTTTGCATGCTACCGTCAATGAGAGGATCTTTATACGCATTCACAATAGGCTTGACACATTCAGAAAATCTGTAGAGATGATTGGCTTCGTAACACAAACGTGCATCTCCGATTGCAGTGGACCACATTTGGCACGGTTGGTTGCATTGCAAGAAAAGAGGAGAAAACTCAGCAGTTCTGGGATAGTTCCATACATGTCTACATACGTCTCTGATACGTTCGCTTGTCACTCCGAAGGCCCGAGTTCGATTCCCCACCTGGGTACAATGTGTGAAACCCATTTCTGGTGTCCCCCGCCGTGATGTTGCTGGAATATTGCTTAATAACGGCGCAAAAACCAACTCACTCACTCACTGTGATATACACGTAGGTCACTGAGAGTTTAACCATCTTCAGTCTAAATATCTTTACACTTTTACCCAACATCATGCTGACACCCCAAGGTCATTGCCTTTCATCACCATTCAACCTAATGGAAAAAGGCTAGAAATGACTGTCTCATTTTAAAGAAGCATTACGATATATATGCAGAGATCATATTAAACGTTAGCCGTAATATGATTATTTTAATTTATTTCAGATACATATTTGCAGAATGAGATGTCGCAAGCTTTGGACAGTCCTGTTCCATATACATCTCCCTCTAGTAGTGCCTCATCCCAAGGTTCAACCTCAGGCACTGCAACCACAACGGTTAATGTCATGAAAACCGTGACCCAATCCCAGTCCAATCAGCTTCCTCCTGACACTGTAGCATCATCTGGATCTGTGCCATACGGACAATCGTTATCTGCAGTTAACATCGACATGCAGAACCCACCTACAGCAGAATCTAAGCTGTCAAGTCAAGAAAACGCACAAGCATACAGGGCCTCTGTGGGTTCTGTCAATGATATTATAATGCCGAATATGGCTACAGAACCTCTTCATAGCTCAAACAACGTGCTGTTTGATGTTGCAATGGGAGTACAGGGCCAAAACAAACAACAACATTCTTTGAAGAACCAAGAGGGAACGCTACGTACAGGACGCTCAACAAAAGCAGTGATTTCGGAAAGTATTGCAGATCCACTCGTAAATTTAGTACAGATCACTGCCTCGCATTTGTCTCCTGGTGAGGCTGGTTTTATAAGTATGAGCGGTACTGGCCATACTAAGTCACAACTGTCCCTTCAAGGGCATTCTCACCAAAGGCAAACTATGACACTTCCTGGGATACAGATGTTGCCGCAAGGGACGAGTGACCACCAAGCGGGGACACAAACAGGTCATGGCGACGCTACCAAAACATCAGGGATACAGATGACTGTCAATACAGGTGGATCTCCTTCTGGAACATCTCATCAGAGTAGCTCAGCAGGAACAACTACCACGTCTTTCAACTCCCAACACGGCGTTGGTGGAGCTCAGTGGAATCAGAATCAACCGTCAAGTGGAACAACCAATTCACTGCCACCTATCTCTAGTCCAACTGATGCATACACTTCCCAGCAACTTACGGACACGCATGTAGGAGACACGCTTTTGGGTAGGCCTCTAACAAGCACCGAAGTTGACCCTAAATCGACTTCCTTGTTGACGTCAGTTGCTAATGAAATACCATCATTCACAACCCTCAACGGTCTGCATTCAGCTTTTTCTGAAGTCCAGTCAAGCAATAGAGCAGGTGAAGGGGTGGCAGCAGTGGCAACATCTGCGGGAAGCAATACAGGTGCTCCTGGTTTTAATAGAGGCTTGGACAGTGACAGTTTGAGCGGGCAAACAGACTCCACAGATGCACATCAAAAGATCACGGAGGCACCTGAATTCTATGAACCGGTTCCTCGTTACGTGGACAGTGACCAAGGTGATTCTGGGGACGGACCGGAAACGTCACAAAATATGGTTAATACAGACCACATGGAATTCAATTTCGGTGTTTCAAAAGACAGACAGATGTCTCCACACGACGGCCAGCAATTTCTGTCACATTCCGAACATTCATCTGGTTATGCGGAATATTTCCCATCGACCTCACTTTCATCGAGATGAAGGACCTTCCATGTCTTTTATGTGAAGAAAGAAAGGTGAGTCAAATAAAACGATTTGATATTACAATGACCAGATGGTACTGCAATGAGAATAGTGGGGGTGAGGTAGCCTGCTGTTTAACGCGGCCGCTCACCACGCCAAAGACCCGGGTTCGATTCCCCACATGAGTACAATGTATGAAGCCCATTCCTGGTGTCCCCCACCGTGATAATGCTTTGATGTTGCTACAAGCGGCGTAAAACCATACTCACTCACTCACTCAATGAGAATAAAGGACTTTGATAAATATTTGGAGCATTTATGGAAGTGACTGTTTCATTAACTATTGGAATGTTTTATACTAATATTTTAATAGTATAATCATGACTTGTGGTAAAGGTTCTTCAGATAATAGATAATTATGTTTTTGTCGCTTTTATATAAATATTAAATTTGTTTCGAAATATCACATGTTGCTTTCCTCTGAGCAAGTTTAACCTGACATAAACAGATGGCACCCGAATGAGTGCTGAAAATGAAAGAACTCAATCTAATCCTTAACTAATAACCAGCATATCTCAGGACATGCTCATGTGGCGGATCACCAACACAAGAACTATTTAGGAGGCAAATTACATGAATTTTTTTCTGAAAGGAAAAGCTAAACAATATTCTATTTCTCTATACAGTTTTTATCACAACATCGAACCCGCCCATTTAGGTATACAAAACATTGCTAATTATTTTCCAGTATTTTCTGGAACGTGTTATATTATTTAGAAATATTGGCAACAAAATTATAGGTATATTGACAACAAACAGATAGATTGTACACGTTTACTGGAGATGGAAAAATGAACTTCCATATTGTTAACGCCACTGTACTTTGTTTCAGGGTAGCTGTCCAGTAAAGGTGTGGGTGCCCTTCCTTATCTGTTTCATCCCTGTTGCCACTTTGTTTCGCCGCTGACACATCGCATTTCACCCGATTTATGTCAAGATAGTATG